AAAGAATACATTTATCCAAACAGAGTTCATTTATTTCATCTTTGTGGCCAACTGACCATTAATTGTTTCACTGAAGTTTCATATGATGAAACAGTGACAATGTATCAGAGTGTTTCATGCCACTTTATAGTAAGATCATTTCATAGTTAAGGTAGACTTAAGGCATTGCACCAAATCAATACAACATTAAAAGTTTCACAATATCCCAGATAGATAGCTTCTTCATCCTGTTCATAAATGGAGAAAGGAACAAAAGGGCACACAGGTTGTTACATGGACAAAGCTTGAAACTTTCTCCCAAAAAGGGCCCAAAAAACGAGAAAGGCACAAAAGGGCACACACACACACACACACCCATGTGGATGTGTGTTGATCCGACCCAAAAACGAAACTGATGAGGGCTCCATAAACACACCCTTCCTTTCATGTCCCAAATCAGAGGCAACCATTAACAAAACAAACATGTAATTGAATCAAAACAAACATGTAATTTTTTACAAAATCTAAATGCCGCTAAAAAGATGTACCTTACAATCAAAGGGATCTCCAAAAGTCCAAAACTACCAAAAAAAAAAGAAGTTAAAAAGTATAGAGATGAAAAGCAAAAAAAAAAAAAAAAAAGGATGAAAAAATGAGTATGTTAACTGCACTAACAGCTTTTGGAGCAAAAGGGATGCTTTTACTTGCCAAGAGGCTACCGACACTAATTCTTGTGTTGTTCAATGTCTGCGTTTTTTATGGGTGTGGGGAGATTTTATAGGGTTTTTTTAATTCCTTCTTTTGAATTAATATTATTCTTTTTTCTTTTCTGGTGGGCTGGTGTGTGTGTGTGTGTGGGCCAGGATCCGACCCAATTGCACCGTAATGTCCAAAAAGGTAAAAGAACCTTAACGAATCCTATATCGATAAACGCGGCGGCTATTATCATTGAATGTTGGCAATGTGAAATTGGGGCGGAGAAGTAGAAAGAACTAAGGCACGCTTTCGAGTGTCACCCACCTTTTCTGCTAGTTGGTGTTAGAGGTGTTATGTGTTCACGTTCTGGATTTGTTCGGTTTTCGATTTTAGCTCAAATCATGATTAAATTAAATTTAATGGTTAATTTTTTTACTTGTCTATAATTGGACCGGTTTTTTCTTTAATGAATAAAAAAAAAGTAAAAACACTAATGTTTTATTGTGATGTGGTCGTTAGTAGTGGCTCGTGAGGACCGGTTGTGATCCGGTCATCATTGTCAATATGAAGGGGACCAACTAAGCATTATGGTAGTCGGGCAGTTGGGAGTGCTCGGCGCCGCACGGTGTTCGGCGCCCCTCAAGTGCTCGGCATTGGAGGTGGTCGGGATGAAGTGTCTGGCGCGGCATCGTCCGGTATGATGAGTGCCCGGCGTAGGGTGAATGTTCGGCGTGGGCGAGTGCCCGGCATGGGAGAGTGCTCGGCCAAGGGAGGTGCCCGGCGGCCCTCGTGTGTTCGGCGGCCCTCGTATGCCGTCGAAGGGGCTAGAACCTGAGGATGGCTTCGGGATCAAGTTACGAAGGAGTTGGTGGCGACAAGGACTCTCGGGATTCAGAAGACCTTTAACCTATTAAGAATTTGATATGAAGAAGACTTCTTATCCCACTGGGACTCTCCACATCTCTCCTATAAAAGGGAGCAGGTTCATTTATTTTACACAACACACATTCACGAACTATCTCGTTACTCTGCCGTTTTCTCTCTAGACCATCACTGACTTGAGCGTCGGAGTGTTCGTGTCGGGACCACCCCCGGCGTGCTTTGCAGGTACCGACGACCAAGGAGACGCAACCCGGTTCGAGAGGAGCGGTCCAGCGGTTCGAGTATTTGTGGCATAACAAATTGGCGCCGTCTGTGGGGAGAATCAGTCTTCTACCAGAGTTTTAAGGGCTGTTTTTTCTCACTACAAAATAAGAACGATAGAAGTCATGGCAGAAGATAATTCGAAGAAGAACTTGACTAAGGAGATGGATGAGGAGTGGGCTCGGAGGGCCTTCGGGGCAGGTCCCCCGCCGGGCTGGTCATCATCGCATGTCACCCCCAAAGAGACGTTGTTGGGCCCGGGCGTGACCCCGATGCCACCGTCAGAAGCTCAGAAGCGCGCGGCGAACTCGGGAGGATCTGGTGGGGTGGCGGACAAAGCGAATGAGGCTGGTACCACGGTTGATGGCGGGGCAAATCAAGGTGTTTTAGGATCCGGGGGTGCTGGTGATCAGAGTGGTGCCCTTGGGAGTAGGCAGTTGGTCATGGTAGGAGCACAAAACCCTCCGGGGGATAATGTTTCTTTGACACCACGGGAGGACCCGGTTATTCAAATGACCAGGTCGGAGTTGGATAGGATCATTGCGGAGGCAATGGGCCGGGCTCAAGAGGTGGATAAGAGAGCCCCTAATGAGACGTTTAAACAACCTCCGCCGCGACAGCCGCTAACACCTCAACAACAAACCCCCGTGCAACAGCAGCACCAGCGCGTGGAGAGGGGTGATGAGGAGGATGCTAGGTCAGTGACCTCCCGCCCGATGGCGACGGAGCAACCGGAAAGGTTAACTTTGGAGAGGTTGGCGGCTCAAATGCGGGAACTCCAAGCTCGGGTGCAGGGTAAGAGACCTGTAGTCTCGCGAGGACACCCTTTTGCAGAGGATGTCTTAGGAGGAGACTTGCCTAGCAACTTCAGGGAGTTGAGTTTGTCCTATGATGGGTCGGCGGACCCAGCCAGGCACTTGAGATCGTTCGACAACATAGCTGTGCTGCACAGGTATAGTGATGCTGTGTGTTGCCGAGCCTTTTTGACGACATTAAAGGGGTCGGCGCAGGATTGGTTCCATCAGCTGCCAGCAGGATCTATCGATTGCTTTGAGAAGTTCAGCTCTCTGTTTCTGAATCAATTTGCGAGTGCCAGGAAGCATGAGAAGACGTACCTCTCGTTGATAAATATGCAGCAGAAGGAGGGGGAGACCTTACGGCAATATGTAGCGCGGTACACTAAGGAGTGCGTGGAGGTCCCCTCTGCCTCGGAAGAGGTAAAAGCTGGAGGCCTTACTCGAGGATTGAGGCCTGGGAAATGCAGGGATTCCTTGGCGAAGCGGCCGGCAAGGTCATTTGACGAGCTCTTGGAGAGGTGCAGCAAGTATGTGAATATGGAGGAATCGGAGGCGGACTTCATCCGGAATGATAAAATAAAGGCTAAGCACGTTGAGGATAGGCCTCGACAAGGTGATCGACGAGCTCCCCTTAAGGAGTCTCGGGTCGAGGATCGATTCAGGGGTTCGAGGTATGAGCACTACAAACTACTTAATGCTCCACAACAGGAGATCCTGGAGATGATGGAGAAGCGGGGGGAGGATAAGCTGCTTGCACAACCAAAGCCCCTACCCCCACCGCGGAAATTTTCAGAAGGAAAGGATAGATATTGTCGGTACCACCGAGACTATGGTCACTCTACTAACTTTTGTCGAGAGTTGAAGGATGAGATTGAGCGGCTCATTAGGGCCGGTCATTTAAAGGAGTTCGTGATCCAGGATAGGGAGCGCCGAGAAGATCGCTGGGAGGAGCATGAGTCAGGGGACAAGCGGCGGAGGACCGATGAGCAGCCTGACAGACCGGTGAAGAAAGGTGTCATACACATGATCGCGGGAGGTCCTACGGATGGAGACTCACATAGAGAGAGGAAGAGGACCTACCGAGGTAAGGGTGTGGCTAATGAAGTGGCTGAGGTACAGGTGCAGAGGAGCTTGGCCACTTTGAAGTTTGGAGCTGGCGATGTGCAGGGGGTTGCCCTCCCACACAATGATGCCTTGGTCATCACTGCGGAGGTGGCCAGTTACGAGGTGTAAAGGGTACTCGTAGACACAGGGAGCTCGGCGGACATCATTTTCCTAAAGTGCTTGCAACAGATGGAGTTAGACGTGAAGGTCGAGTCGGTCCATACTGCTCTCTATGGCTTCAGTGGTAGTGAGGTCCGTCCCATTGGTGAAGTTAGTTTGACTGTGGCATTGGAAAGGTCGCCTTTGAGGAAGGTGAAGATGGTTCGCTTCTTGGTCGTGGATGCTAGCTCGGCCTACAACATCATACTGGGGCGGCCTAGCTTGAATTCATTCCAAGCAGCCGTCTCTACTTACTGCATGAAGGTCAAGTTCCCCGTAGGAGATGAGGTTGGGGAGGTGACTGGAGACCAGTTGCAGTCTCGGTGGTGCAATGAGGTCACATTGAAGACGGCCGAGGCACAGCATAAGAGGAAGAATGATGACCTGCTTGAGTGCTCCCGTCAGGAGAAGAAGCAAGAGTTGGGAATCAGCCTCCGGGACGAGCTAATGGATATAGGGGCGGTTGTTGCCACGACCGTGGAACATATCGCATTTGAATAAATATTATGCGTCGTTGGAGACATGCTATCTTTAATTGTTTTCGTTTGTTAGTGGTTATGT